AAAACTTATTTTATGCTGTTAACAAAACTAAATACAAAAACTAAAAACTCAACTAAAACAGATATTTTAGGCCATTTTAACGTTTGCTAAGTGATTTAAAACCTAGTTTAAATCCTACAGTTTATACTAAATAAAGTCACAATGCAACAGCACTGAATGTCAACATTTCAGATCTTCTTACCTTGATTAAAACTACATCCAGAGTTCTCTCTCCTTTGGCACACAAACTATACCTCCGCTTGTATCGCTCGTACATCTTTCCAACACGCGTAAGAAGAAACTGTGACACTGAACAAAGCTTATTTCCCACATGAGGTCCTGACAGGCACAATCTCCACGGCTCAAGCGTTTGGAAAAATGAGACGCTCCTAATCTTTCACATCTGTGTGAAGGGCCGGCCCCTTTCCCTCGCTCATCCCCGACTCCACTCTTCTCTCTCTCACACACACACTCTCTCGCATATGCAAACAGTCTCTTTTCCTCTTTCTTTGCGCTATCCCACCCTGCTGGCTCTTTCTCACACATCTGCACACAGGTCATTCCTGCTACGAAGTACCTTTTAATAGTCCACAGTGTCTTAACATTGGATCAGACATAATATTCATCCTTTTTAAAACATGCTAATCATATTATTTGGTTCACAATTAGGTGCACATGAATTTAAAAATGTCGTTACTATGCAGAAAATTTGCTCCAACTAACATGAAAAATTGTCTTATGAAATTTCCATGCGTTTCTAATTTTTTTCTTTCTCTAATCGAAATGTTTCTAAACAATGCTTTCCTGAGATTATTTAAATTAAAATCAAGTTATACTTAACAATAACAACACTGACTAAAACTAAAAGCATTAAATAAATATTTGTTAATTAAAATAATAAACATTAACTGAAATAAAATATTTTTTTAATTATTTCGGTTTTTTTGCAATGGCAACATTTCTAATTTTCATTTAGTTTAAGCTGAAGTACTAAATTAGCCAAAACTAAAACTAAAATAAATAGAAATAGAAACTAAACCGAAATAAAACTAATAACTCTTCAAAATCACAAAACAACAAAATTACTAATATTTAAATAAGAATTACAATGAAAACAGAAAATATATATGAAAAAACTAATTTAAAAAAAATGTGTCTCATTTGTATTAGAAACGGATTTGAGGAATTCTGTGGTATCCGTTTATTTCAGTCTAAAATATTCCCAAAAAATATCTAAATTAACAAGTTGACAAGTTAGTTAACTGTCACACAGCAATGGCTAACTTTAGCTATTTTTTTCCCCCTGTTAAATGTCTTGGCATTGTGCAAACAATCAAGTTATAATTAAAGCGTCTTATCTTGACCAGAGCATATTTCTGAGAGTCTGGTAGCCTTTTATAGAAATACCTCCTTATTAGCATTTTTACAAAGTTCGCAAAGAACGCCCCACACAGTCGCTTTTCTTTCGCTGCGTCTCAGTTCTCCTTCCTTCTCTGAGCTCAGTCCCTGCAGGAAAGCCTATCCGGTGGGATACGCAGATAACAGCCCTGATGCCTTTCTGATGGACACCACCATTGAACCATCGTCAAAGCTTTTCAGTGTTTAGCGTACCATGTATACACACAATCACAAACACACCCTCTGCCCTGAGGAAACGAGGTCGAGCAACACCTACTAGTGATTTCTTCCATCTGCTCATGATCTCAGAGGTGAAATAAGCAGAAACCGAGGCTCCGTGTGTTGCCAGGATAGGGCTGGTTAGAATTTGCAGGAAAAGGCCTTCAGCACTTGTGGTTCACATAAAAGGGTAACCCCAGCCCCCATTCCCCTAAACGGTTGTAAAGATGAACAGCTGGCCCAGAGGTCACGACATTAAACTGTCAACGTCCAACAGGAGAACGGCTGGCTGATCTACCCAAACTACAGCTCAAAACACACAGTGCTGTGAAAAATCATTATGTAACCTGTTACATTGTGCACTACAATGTAAATCAACTGCATTTTGTCAATTGTTTGTTTGAAAACTTACACTATATCTTTATTAGCTAGCACTCTCTTCCAGTCCTGAACTCTCACAAAATAAACAAATCCACATTGCTTCTGGACTTCACGCCTCATTGCTACCATATCTAGTGTTTCTGTGAACACAGACACAAAAGCAACTGTTTTACCTTGAATAACAGAAGCACAATCACATTGTGAGTACAGCACTTTAGAGTAAACCAACAAAACTGAAACCGAAAATCGTGTCATCTGGCAGAAAACATATGGCCACATATACAGTACCATTCAAAAGTTTAGGGTTGGCAAGATTTTTAATGTTTTGTTTTTTTTCATTGTCTAATGCTCACCAAAGGCTGCATTTATTTGATAAAAATACAGTAAAATTAGTAATATTGTGAAATATTACTATTATTTAAAATAGCAATTTTCTATTTGAATATATTTTAAAATGTAATTTATTTCTGCGATGCAAAGCTGCATTTTAAGCATCATTACTCCAGTCTTCAGTGTTACATGATTCTTCAGAAATCATTCTAATATACTGATCTGCTGCTCAAGAAACATTTCTTATTATTATCAATGTTGAAAACAGTTGCGCTGCTTAATATTTTGTGGAAATACTTAATTTTTGTGATTTGTTTTTTCTATTTATTTAAAATAGAAATCTTTTGTAACATGATAAATGTCCGTAATGCATCCTCAATGAATAAAAGCATTAATTCCTTAACAAAAAGTGAAAACTTTTGAATGGTAGTGTATGTCTCTTCTTTATTCTAGCACTGGCTCCACATGTACAAAGATATATTACTGCAGGATATTCAGATGTTTATAATAATTCTCAGATCTTTTCATAACCAGCAGGCCTAAAGATGAAAGGGAGGACCACATCTGTTATTGGTTATACATGGGCCCGACACCATGGGGACCCGACCGAAATGCTGCTGAGTAACAGGACGTTACGTTATGTTTTCACGGAAATATCGCCCCCATTTGGAGCTTGGTGCTCAAAATTATTTAGTTCAAAGCAACTGTAAATATTGACCCCCTCGCTGAATGTTCAGGATCTTGCTGACAGAGAAAATCACAAAAAAAAAAAAAAACAAGAGCCTATTTTGGTTAAAAAGAGATTTGAAACCACATTTGTCTTGTTAGGTTTGCGATTATATCAACTTAATAACTTTTTAAAAATATATTGCATGATCATGATCTGAAACTTCACAGTCAAAATCATCCATCAGCATAAAACAAAGAAGTGACAGAAACAATAATAAACAACTGACAGCCCTAGTATTTTTGCAACATAACTATCATGGGATGTCATTCATGTCACAACATACACCCACAGCATATTTCATAAGTGAAGTGCAGTAAATTAAATATATATTGTCTAAACACTAGACTATATTTTTAGTACTAACCACTGGTGCATCTTTTTTGTCTGTGATATCAGGCCACATTGTCTTCTGAGAGTCCGTCTGATCCTCCAAACTTGCATCTGACTCTGTGAGAGAACATACAATAACTTTAATCAGTCAGATATAAACGATCAAAAAAATAAAAGAACAAACAGTACAAATTCGTTCATGAAAATAAAGAAAAAATATATTACTATTAATAACATTATTTTTAATTTCATTCAAGAATGGAATATCGGAGTCATTATTTATTAAATGATAAATGAACTAAAAACATATCCTGCACTGCAAAAGCATCAACCAAACAGGCATGTTTCTGGAAATGGTAAGTCTGGCTATTGTAGTTATACGTAACTGTAACTCCGCAAAGATAACAATACTCTTTGAAAACATGGGTGTACCAATGTACTTTTTCGGTCACTGTGAGAACGGAGGAAAAAAAAAAAAAGTTCAGGAAATGAATGCTGACCTCGTCTTGTAACTTCACTTCCCTGGACATCCCATAATGACATCACCTGTTGCTAAGCTACTTTTTGTTATGTACATAAATCATGATGAATACACCCTGTTCGCTCAGGCGTGTGCGTGTCGGAGGCTACTTTCAATTATTCTGTTGGATCAGAAAGGTATAATTCCTTAATTTTGGTTTATCATGGAAGGCGGGTGCTCTTGAAGAGACTTGGAAAGCCTGTTATGCAATCACAGTGAGTGTAATATTTGATCAGTGATGGAATTAAACACGAATCTTGGCAATGGATTTTTTAGTTTCTCCTTGATTCAGACTAGCAAAATGTCATTTTTTGAACCAGGAAAACTGTTGGAGCAACAATAAATATACATGTCATCAAATGCATATAATACTATATTTTTAGGAATACAAGTCATGGTTTTAATATCATCTGAAATGTGCTGCAACTTATTTTCCAAAACAACCTGTATCATGCAATTCACATCAAGCATGCAAAACATGCGCAAAATGCACATATTTTAGATTTGTGTCGGATGAGAGGTACATGAGCCCAAGTTTATTTGTTTATCACTTTATTCAATTTTGTATAGCTTTGGCATTTAGAATAAATGTTTATAAAGAATACCACTGTAATTTATGATGGTCCATGTACTTTTCATTCCTGTTCTGTTCTGAATAACATTACATTTTAAGGTTTTGTTGTGGAGTGACTGCACTGTAAAAAATTATTGTGATTTTAACAGTAAAAGACTGTAAAAATACTACAGTAAAAACCTGTTAATTGGTTAACAGTAAGTTTCCATACTATATACGGTGAATAAATGTAATTATATTTAATGTAATTTTACAGTAAAACACTGTTAGAAATTTAGTGTTTGTGTGAATGACACTGTGCACCTTCTAAGAACTACCCTCCTCAGCTCGTAGAAAAGCTGTTTGTGATGAGCTTTGGTTCATCATGTGACTTTCTCATCACCACCAGTTTTTGGTGGTTATCAGTGCATTACAATGATTCAAAACAGATATTAGTACTTCAATATGTTGGTTTATTAATACTACATCAGTTAATGAAATACGGTATTTTTTTATGAATTTAAGTCTGTAAAACCTAAAATGTTGCTACCATATTTTTTACGGTGAAGTTCTGGCAACCACAGCTGGCGGTGCGGTCTCTAAAAAGGCCGATCTCAAAAAAACGATCTCAAGCTGATGACGCGCCTGCCATGAGAAGGTTTGGCTCGACATGCAGCAGCACCGTCTCGGTCTCTGTCCGGCGCGGGTGAAATAATTATAACGCTGTAATAATAATTATAATATTTCTTCATTAAATAACTTATAAAGTAATTTGAAATCCCCTCTCACAAGAGTCACCTAAGAGGGGAATTCCCCCCATTTTCAAAAATGAAATTCAGGCCCTGAATAAATGTCTAAAAATCCTGTTTGGAGTATCACTATAAATAGTTATAAATGAAAAAAAGAAGGCTTTAAAAAGATTGGTATTGGCAGATACTGCTTTCTGTGATCGGCATCGGTCTCAAAAACCCTAATCGGAGCACCCCTATTTACAATGTTTTATTTACCAGTATTTCATATTATTGCTAAATAAAATTATGATGAAATGTGATTTGTATGAGTTTTTCCTCTTATAATCAGGTGCAGATTTTTTTTTTCAGAAAACAGTTCATCATAAATATTTTACACTTTTTATTGTTCAACTCACCCTTCAGTAGGTCTTCTTCGCCCATTGGTTGTACAGCTTCCTGCACTGCAGCTTCTGTCCCTT